GTAGGGCTCTATAGGGATCCGTAGGGCTTCGTAGGGCTCTGTAGGGGTCCGTAGGGTTTGTAGGAGTTCGTAGGGCTCTATAGGGCTCCATAGGGGTCCGTACAGGTCTCTTGGGTCTGTAGGGCTCTATGGGGGTCCGTAGGGCTCTATACATCTCTGTAGGGGTCTGTAGGGGCCCGTAGGGGTCCATGGGGTTCCGTAGGGGTTTGCAGGGTTCTATAGGGTCTGTAGGGGTTCATAGGGGTCTGTAGGTTTTCTTGGGGGTGTGCAGGGGTCTATAGGGGTCTGTAGGGGTCAGCAGAGGTTCGTGTTGCCCTTAGAGGTTTGCAGGGGTCTGTAGGGGTCCGTAGGGGTCTAAAAGGCTCTATAGGGGTCCGTAGGGGTCTCTAGGGGTCTCTGGGCTCCGTAGGGTTTCGTATGGGTCTGTAGGGGTCCGTAGTGTTTCGTAGGTGTCTGTCGGGGTCTCTGGGCTCTATAGGGCTCCGTAGGGCTCTATAGGGCTCCGTAGGGGTCCATAGGGTTACACAGGGTTCGTAGGGGTCCATAGGGTTAAGTAGGGTTCATACGGGTCTATAGGGCTTTATAGGGGTCCATAAGGGTTTGTAGGACTCTATAGGGCTTTATAGGGGTCTGTAGGGCTTTATAGGGGTCCTTAGGGCTCTATACATCTCTGTAGGTGTCCATCGGGGTCTGTAGGCATCCATAGGGTTCCCTATGGGTCTCTAGGCATTCGTAGGGGTCTGTGGGGTTCTGTAGGGGTTTGCAGGGTTCTATAGGGTCTGTAGGGGTTCATAAGGGTCTGTAGGTTTTCTTGGGGGTGTGCAGGGGTCTGTAGGGGTCAGCAGAGGTTCGTGTTGCCCTTAGAGGTTTGCAGGGGTCTGTAGGGGTCTATAGGGATCCGTAGGGGTCTAAAAGGCTCTATAGGGGTCCGTAGGGGTCTCTGGGCTCCGTAGGGTTTCGTACGGGTCTGTCAGGGTCTCTGGGGTCCGTAGGGCTCTATATGGCTCTGTAGGGGTCTATAGGGCTTTATAGGGGTCCATAGGGTTACGTAGGGTTTGTGGGGGTCCATAGGGCTTTATAGGGGTCCATAGGGCTCTGTAGGGGTCTATAGGGGTCTAAAAGGCTCTATAGGACTTTATAGGGGTACATAGGGCTTCGTAGGGCTCTATACGGGTCCGTAGGAGTCTATAGGGCTTTATAGGAGTCCATAGGGTTATGTAGGGTTCGTGGGGGTCCGTAGGGCTCCATAGGGGTCCGTAGGGCTCCATAGGGGTCATAGGGTTATGTAGGGTTCGTAGAGGTCTATAGGGCTTTATAGGGCTCTATAGGGGTCCGTAGGGCTCTATAGGGGTCTAAAAGGCTCTATCGGACTTTATAGGGGTCTGTAGGGTTCTATAGGGCTTTACAGGGGTCTGTAGAGTTCTATAGAGCTTTATAAGGGGTCTGTAGGGCTCTATAGGGATCTGTAGGGCTTCGTAGGGCTCTATACAGCTCTTTAGGGGTCTATAGGGGCCCGTAGGGGTCTATAGGGGTCTCTAGGCATTCATAGGGGTCCGTGGGGTTCCATAGGGGTCCATAGGGCTCTATAGGGGTCAGCAGAGGTTCGTGTTGCCCGTAGGGGTCTATAGGGGTCCATAGGGGTTTGCAGGGTTCTATAGGGGTCTGTAGGGGTTCATAGGGGTCCATAGGGCTCTATAGGGGTCAGCAGGGGTTAGTGTCGCCCTTAGAGGTTTGTAGGGGTCTATAGGGGTCCATAGGGGTCCGTAGGGGTCTCTAGGATTTCATAGGGGCTGGGGGGGGAACGACTCGTTTGGGGTCGGGGGGTTCCTATGGGGCTGGGAAGCTGCTCCCCACACAACCCTCTCCTCCCTTTTTTCCCGCGGGAAGCGCTCCCGCCCGCGCCTTTTATGCAAACGAGCCGTCCTCTCCTCCACCAATCACCCGCCAGCGTGGGCGGGGCCACCTCCCCTCCCTTCGGGGATTCCC